AATAACCCTATTAAAATAATAATATTATTAAAAAATTTACTTGATGTAATATTGAACATGATCGGTTTTATTGAATCTCAAACAGCCATCCAACGTATACTCAATAATCGTTTAAATTTTAATTCAGGAATATCTAAAAGAATTTGTCAACATTTCAGTTTAAGAGTTCGAGTTGCAATTGAACCAAAATATTGATAAATTTTACCTATAGTATTTTCCAATTTCGAAATTAAATCACGATTTTTTGTTTTTTCTTCAGCACCTAAAAACACTTTAATTATTAGATAGAAGCATACGAAGTACATGCTGTGTTTGGTAAATTCAGCTTGGTTTCCGACTAATGCAAATGAGTATGCTGCGCAGGTATTTAGCTCAACGAAATCAAGATCATAATCGCATGTTAATTTAGCAACAACACCATTATTAACACCTACAGCAAATAAAGTTGATCACTTTAAAAACAAGAGAAAATACCTGTAAAAGTTGCAGCATTGTCACAAGTAAACCAACATGTTTTCTCAGGATCCACATCATCTTTTCTTCATAATGATTTGATACAGTTCACTATATTATTAGCTAAACCAGCACCATCCAAACCCAAAATCCCATAAAAACTTGTTTTAGCTTCATCGTTTTCAAAACATCTGAATAAACGATGAGACTTTTCTCTATGATACGAGAGGTACTTTCATCAAATATCCTGCCTAAACACACAAGAACATCATTATTCTTAATTTTTAATTTTTTTCGTACCAATCGATTCGCTTTGTTTTACTTTTTCGATAACTTCTTCATGTAAATATGATACCACATGGCGCAGAAATTCTAATGTAGCAGTGTCATCTTTATAGGACACACCATCTAATTCTGCTGATAATAATTTAATACGAAGAGTTTTAATTAACGTACATAACATGTCAAATGACTTGATTGATTGATCTTGTTGACATACATAAACTGCAGATAAGATCAGATTTTTGAATTGCAATTTCATGTTTAGTTCGTTCTTTTGTTTGTGTAATTATCCAAGTAAGTTGTGATTGAGATGCTTGTTGTAACTCAAATTGTTGAGTCTGTTTGTGAACCTCATTGTCCCTATGTTCTTTAATTTTTGATAATTTCGTCATTTGATAACCTGATGTACATCATAAGTTGATTCTTACATTAGAATTTTTTGTTTTTTTTATATTTTTCACAAAGTCTACAACCAAGACCATCATTACCATGATGATCTTTTTTATAATAAAAAGCAACATAGAGTTTTTTGTGCATTATATTAACTATATCAAGTATATACGTCTTATAAAACGATTCTGCTTGTCATTCCCATGCTGGTAAATAACGACCAATGTTTTCCTTTGATAATATAACTGCTGTTTGACTTGTTACTGTTACTTCATTTACTGTTTGCGTAGTATAATCATGATCTACATACTTTATCATTCATGCCAATTTTAAACCGACTTTTTCCTACTAAAGTACATATTGTAAAGCCTTTAAATGATGGATCCTATTTGTTACTAAAATATTGGTTAAGTAGATGAACTATCTTGGTCGTTGATGGTAATTGACTTATAAGTAAATCTTCTTCAAACTGTAAATAGAAGTAAGGGAGATTGTTCGAGATAGCTCTTTTCAACTGAGCTAATGTAAAATGATTATTTAATGCTTTTTGCTGTTTGTTTCCTTCTATTGGATTTTTATCTTGTGAAGGATCAAATCGGTGGTTATTTGATGAAGATTCAGCAATACGATTCATTGAGAATTCGAAGGTGGTTGAGTTTCTTTTATGTTATTGGATTGGTTGATTTTCATCACTATCATTTAGTCGACGTCTTGTTGCTGAGGAGGGTGTTACTGGACTTTTATTTTGATGTGTGAATCGTTGAGAAAGTCCGAACAATAATAAGTTTGGTGAATTTTGTGAATATAAAAGCTTTTTTCCATCAATGGTGGAATTGTAGCTGTTGTTGATTTACTGTTCAATGGAGACATCATTGATCGATATACGATTGGATGTGATGGATTGGACGGTTGATGACTAATGGCTGTTACAGATTTCGGATGGCTTGGTGAGTGGTGATAATTTGAAATATGAGCGAGTTGTTGATTGATCACTTGACAGTTTTGGGTCTTTTGTAGATTTCTGATACCAAGATTGAAGATGTATTGGAAGCATTCTAATTCATGTTGTGAATTACTAATTTTGTTGGGACTGTAAACATCCATGATTGGCATTAACGGCGCTTCCACCGCGAATGTCCTTTAAGAATAGTAAGTGAAGTGAGAAAAAGTAGGTCTTATCTCCAGCGAGTGAAATAATGTAATGACTTGAGGAGTTACTCGTGAGACATAGCTGAAAACATTTTTGAAAGAGTTAGAAGACTTTTTAAGAAGTATTTCAAAGATTTGTAATTTATTGCAAACTTCTACTTGCTTTTTATCTTACAAAGCACTCCTTACATTTGATCTAGCAAGTAACAGATTCTTTCACGAGATCTACCTGCTCATACAATAACAATATTTTCATCTAGTTAGACTTATGAAGAATTAAAGAAAAAAAATATGCACGTCTTCTAAAATATTCGATTATTTTTAGCGTTTTTTGTATAATGGCCGTTCATCATATTGTAGCAAGCAAGAGAAAACCGAAGTCATAGAGAAATTGTTCAAGATAAATCCCCAATGAAGAGATCAATCATCGTCTGGTTCACTGCCCCTATCCGTTGAGTAGGATGTTGATGAATCTTGATCAACGAAATTGTCATCTACAGGCAAGTCATCGTGCACAGGATCAGGTTCTGAACCTTGAACAAATTCGTCTTCATCTTTTGGTTCTAAGATTATTTCGCTCTCTTGATTTGTCTCGTTTTCATCTGTATGAAGAAGCAGTCGAAGTCGAGTTTGAGCAAACTTTACGCCATAGTAACCTGCCCAGAACTGTCTATCTTTGCCAGACAAAAGTACAGTCACCGATGTAGGAAACTGTTGATATTGTTTGTAATGATAAATCAATCGGTGCCATTTTTTATCATTCCATTGCGGAAAATTTCGTTCGCATTCCCAACGATGTCCATCAGAAAAAGTGAGACAGATTCGACATTCTGAAGCGCAATCCCATCGTGGAGCCACACATATTGAGAATTCAATTATTGGATGAAAGCAAGCAACCTAAAAACTAAAATTATATAAATATACTTGACATCCATTCACTCTTATTACTTTTTAGACTTTATATATATGGAATGCTAAACAAGAATAATTTCATACCTATTTCCTTTTTTTAATATCACGAGGAAGTTCTAGATTAACTCAGCTAACTTCTGTAATTGGTAACAAATAGGATGTAGAGTGGTAAATTTCGGAGAGCTCATCGGTAACTTACATCCTGCCACGAGAGTTTACCGCTAAGAAGTTGAATATCTGGCTGGAAAAATTGTCCCCACATATGAGATGTTACACGGCAGAAAGACAGACGATTGAATTCATCATAGAGCCGGTGGCTACCAGCCGGAATAAATTCGATTCGTGAATCTGTATTATGAGATTTTTTCCATTTGTTCTCCTCGATAAAATTGAATGATGGATGAAAAGGATTGTTAATGTAGAGTTTTTCATAGGCGGTAAACTCAGAAGGAAAAATTTGAGTAGGTAGCAAAACATAATCGTGGCGACATTTTTGCTCCCAAAAAATTGATGATTTAATAATATGATGAAAACGTTTGCAAACAAGTGAGATTGAAAGAAGATCGGCGTGAGTTTGTTTTAATAGAGGCTGATGAATCGAATAATCGAAGTAGAGTGAGTTTGACGAGAGATGAACATGGTTATTTTTGTTGAGAGGTGGCAGGTGACGTAGTGAGAGGAAAATCTGTTCGACAACCTCATCAGACAAAATATCAAAAAGATTTATATCAGAGCTCATCTAGAACCAAGAAGTAAAAGGTGCACAATTATATGATTCGTATGTTTTGGTTAACAATAGTGACAACATGAAATTTGTCTTCATATGTTACATTGATAGTAAGTTAAGTTTAATCGTGTGTATCTGTAGAAAACGCAGGTTCCATCTATAGTTAGTCCTAATTTACTTGACTATAGAAGATATTATATACGCTTTGCATGTACAAATAAAATGTGATCATGGTCTACAATCATGCATCGTTTTGTTTTTGTTTGCTTTCATCTAATCTAACATGAAATAGAAAAGGAATGAGATGAAAAATATTTCTTCCTACCTCACGTTATCACTCCAATCTTAAGTGATGGTTATTATTAAGAACGAAGTTATCGAAGTAGGAGAGTATCCTTGCTAAACTAATGGTCTTACTTCTATTAAAGTAGTCGTACCATTTTCTACAATATGCAGTTGTATCACTTTATAATAACAAAGAGGAAAAATTATTCATACACGCACAAGGCTCAGAGATAATGGACAAAATCAATATAAAAAAATATATCAACAACAATCTAACACCTCATGTGTTGTTGTGAGTTCATGTTTCATATTTTGTTTTAAACATGTTTAGAATCTAGTTTTATTTCAGTCTGATGAAGAACAAAAATGAATCAACGCATAAGAGAAAAAAAATGAGAATGTCATCAATAAAATGTTTTTTCGACTATGTACATAAAAGAATGATAAGAGAAAATAAAAGAGAAAGAAAGTAACCAATGTATAAAGATCTACTCAGATGTCAGACTCTGATGGACAGACACATGCATATCGGTAATAATTTGTTTGGCTTCGTATTTAGATGAGCTTGCAAAAACTATAAACTCTTCAAATGCTTTAAAAAATCAGCATGTGTTTATAATTTTCATCAGTGATGCGATAAGAACTTGTCATCAACTCCAGTTATACTGTAAGTTAAAAAAGATTGGTGATGTTCGCATTAAATTGCGATTCTCATCGAGAAACTCATGAATTCCAAGCATAAACCGCTCTTGAAGTACTCACACAGAGATATTCATTGTTAAGCATTCATAATTTCAATATAGAAGTATGGTAGTATATGAGCTATTCACATTATTTTTTTGAATATGATAGTTAGATTTTTCAGGAAGTAAGCTTTCAAATTCCTGCTAAAATTTATTTGCAACATTAGAGATTGCTGTTTTGTCAAAAATGTATTGAGTTGAACGAATAAAATCCTGCTTGTATGAGAGACATCACGTCACTAATAACACTCGAAGAACAAGCGATCCTATTATGCTTTCACAGTTTTGAAAGAAAACAAGAAACGAATTCTGGAGTAAGTATTGAAAACTTGCGATTTAACATTCTCTGATAGTCGTAATCATGAATCTAGCACGGTTCTGCGTCTAAGACTCTATGCATTGTCAATGACAGTTCAAAATTTCGCTTGACACATTCAATGTTCTATTGAATATTGAGAACCCAAGAATCAGTTAATGGAAGAATTTCGTGATAAAGTGAGAGAGTCTTCTCCGATATGACTAGAGCTGTTGTATAGTCTTTCATTTCTCAAAGATCCAAAATATATTTTGGTATAATTGGTAAAGATCAGAGTTCATGTAGAGCTTCAGTGATCGATCATGACACTCAACGATATTCTCGTATTGATGAAGGCTGACGAGAAATTTATTTCAAGAACAAAATCGAAAAAAAAAGAAAATCGAAATGTTTCATACTTTATGAGCCACGTCTTACAATGGCTTCATCATGGAAAAGATAATACAAAATGGCGACTTTCATAGGATATTTCATTAGAAATGTTTTTCGTTCTGTCAAAGATGAAATGATATTCTACGTCCAATATCAATTTTATTTCAATTGAACAAGCTGATAGATTCTAATAACGTACGGGAGCACTATGTTTTTTCATTATTTCAGAAATATCAAAATCATTCCATTAGTTTCGTTTTTTTCTATATCATTTTCATTACGTAATTCTCATACTTTTCACGAACTGAAACTATCACATTAGTTATACTAATTTGGCACTACTTTCATGACATGATTTTGATTATTCTGGACAACAAAAATCAATGCATTAGGTACATTAACTTTGCATCATTTTCAGTATTTCAAAAAACCAAATATAATCATTACAATGCTTTGATTACTTTCACATCATTTTTGTTCCATGATTTCGATAAGATATAAATCAGCAGATGAATTTCATTGATTTTAAATTTGAAACATTCAATTTCAATCGTTGTTTTTCACATGATTGAAAATCTGTATCAATACTTCGAAGAAAAATCGATTTCATCAATAACTTTGGTGAGAAAAACATCATGTGTGATGATGTTTTTTATTTGAAAATAAATAATGAAAATATTTAATTTGAATCTACTTTTTCCAAAGTCCATGAAGTATTTTTTAATACTATATATACATTGCCATTTTTCGCAAAGGTAGAGTAAAAGGAACTTGAAAAGTTCACTCGAGAGCTCGTAGAAAGACAATCAGTTTAGATTTATAAAAACAAAAATTTATATCATTTTTTGCCATTTTTTTATTCATTGGGCTACAATCTCGATAATCAACTACTTTTTCTTATAATTATAAACTGAAATAGAATAAATACATATTTTGGCAAATGGTACACTATTCAAAATCGATATGAATCACTATTACACCTTATTTTTACCTTTTAATAGTGTGGAATTAAATCTTGATGGTAGTGACGTTTACTCATCTATCGACATCACAGGACAAAACACGAAATCGAGTCGTGACCAAATCAATATGTATGAATAGTTAAAGCAATGAAAGAAGATTGACTCGTTGACACGATGAATGGTGATGAAAAAGAAAATGCGCATGTAACGAATATTTGACTTTTTTTTCTCTTTCTGCTCTCGTTGATATATTGATGAATATGCTAACAAGGTCATCTTTTCGATCAGAATACATATTGTATGATCATGATCACGTTCTTTGCACAAGAAGATTTTAAAATGCTTGCAAAGGAAAAAATCTTAATCTGAGAACTCTATTGAAAAAAAATACTATTACTTTCACATAATACAAATCAAGCTAGATTTAAGAAAAATATCGATTGAAGTAACTTTTTATCTGTAAATATTGTATTAAGATATTCTTTTTTATATTCGATCTTTATAGAAAAGTAAAAAAAAAAATATATATATGATTTGAATCCAAAAAAAAACATAGAAGAATCCAACGATAGATTAGAAAAATACTATTAGATTATTGTCCGCAGAATTCTTGCTTTTTTCTATTATTGTATCGTTCATCTGTATATCATCAGCAGTATGTTTTCGACAGGTCATCATCAAATCTTTAAACATCTTTTTAGTAACAGATACAATTGAATGACGACCTTCGACAAGTGGATAAATTCCAACAATGAAAAATGATATAAATATCCAAATAATTCCAACAATAACCCAACCAGTAAAAAAGCGTTTACTAAAAACATATGCTGTTCCATACATAGGCCATGGCCAAAGTATGATTAAACATAATGTAAGAACAATTGCTGTAATTCGTGCAATATTTAAATTTCTTGTTAGTAAATTTACTTCATGTTCAAGTTCTTCTGAAGTCAAATTTGGAGTATTTCCCGATTCTTCATTATCACATTTAATTTCTTTCATCGAATTAAAATCATACGGTACTTTATCACGTAGAATCAATGAAAGAACAGATACGAATAGAATAGGACTACATAAAGCAACAACATTACCGACAAGCATAGGAATATTTGATCCACTTGTTTCAACAGTAATTGCACCATATTTAGTTTTAGTTGTGACTAACCATGCGGTGATTGAACAAGCTAGACCTAATGGTGGCGAAAGACAAGCTGCCCATTTACTTTGTCGATTCCATAGTAATGTCAAAGCACCCGGTACGACGGCATTTGAAATAATTACACCCATCAATAAATATAAATAGCCCAAACTTATATTAATATAATATAATCCAATTGACCAAGCACTCATAAGAAGACCAAATATCACTACCGAAACATGTGAAATGTAGATAAGTTTTTTGCCACTAGCTTCTCGATTGAAATAGGTTTTGTAAAGATCATAAGTAATAATCGAACTTACAGCAATCAATTGAGCAGACATAGCACTTGTGACAGCCATAAAAACCATGATTAAAGTGGCTATTGCTCCAGCTTTTCCAAGTAGAGCTACAGCAGCAGCTGGCAAAGTTAAACCGGCGATCACATCAGCTACATCTAATCGATGTGGATAACTAGGAAATGCTGGATTATTTTCCAATGCAACAGCAGCCAATCCCATTGTAGTAGCAGCAAGAAATGGAACAGCAAACCATGAAATACCACCAAGAATGTAACCAGGTAGAGCAGAAACAGGTGAAGCAGCAATTGCCTTATTATAATATCCATTATCGAGAAAGACAGTTCCAAAATTTCCAATAATATTAATAATAAAAAATATTGCTCCATCTGATGATCGCATAGTCAAATAAGATCCTTCTGCATTACCTTCAATTGGATGCATTTTACTGGCATTAACCAATAAATCATAGACTATCGATGGTGAACCAAGTAATGATGATTTTGCATAAGTAGCAAATGCAAAATAAAGAATAATAATGAGAACAACTACAGTATGTGCATAATCTGTAAGAAAAGTAGCTTTAATTCCTCCAAACATTGTATAAATAATTGTTCCTAATGGTAAAAGAAAACATGCAGCAGCAATATGCATTCCACTAAGAGAATGAACAACAGCCGAACCACCTGTTAATAACATTGATGTAACAAGAATATTTGTACATAAACAAAAGATAATATAAACCATATGAACTATTGGACCGTATCGAGCATGAATAACTTCAAGAAATGTATGTGCAAATGGAGCTCGACGTTTAAGTTCAATAGCAATAACACAAAATAAAATTATTTGTACAGTTGCTCCACTTGCATACCAAAATGGACCTGAAATTCCATAAGAATAAGCAACTGAACTGGATTGTAAAAGAGTAGCAGCCCATGTCCATGAAGAGACGACAGCCGATGCAATAAGACCTGTTTTAACTGTTCGATGAGCTGTTGAAAAACCTTCACTTGAATCTGTTGCTTCACCATGATATCGTTTTAAACAGAAAGTAGCAGCAACCATACCAATAGCGAATAACGCTCCAAAACCAACAACAATCCCGTATCCATCACCTTGTGTCAATGGAAAACTTCTCGTTGACATTTTTGTCAAAAATAATAATTTCAACAAAAAATATGTATATTATATATAATGAGTCTTACCGTTCTGTAGAACAAACAGAATACCTTATGCTTATTTTTCACTTGATGTTTTTCGCTAATAGCCACGAAAAGAAATTAAAAAAAAATGTACAGGCTATTTCATGATGATTATGTATTGATAACGAAGTAGCATGAAGAAATGATTGATTGAAGTCATAATATTTATTGCTCTACACTTTTCATTTAAATAACTACTACGATTTGTTGAGAATCATATCTGTCAGTGTTTGGAATAAAAGACGTTGAACAAAATTGTAGAATGATAAAAAGAAATTCAACATTACTAACATCAAAAATTCGATGTATTGATTCTATAAGCTAATCAGTTTCTTTCTAGATGATAATTCTTATCATTAATATCGCGAATAGACTCAGAGTTCTGTACTATTTGCTTTCAAAAGAGATCATTATACTAAATCTATCAACAAAATTGATAGAAAAGCAATTGTGTTTATATTTTCGACGAGTAATTACTCATTGGATCATCTCATCACTGCTCATCAATCAAGTTCATATATGTACGAAACAGACCAAAATCTTTCTTTCTCAATTGAAAGATCACGCATTTTTGCACTACGATATTCAAATTTAAACAAAAAACAAATACTTCATATCCTTTTTTCCTTCATCATCATATAGAGAGAAACATAGTACCATCTATCTACACTCATTCTTTTTGGTATAATTTTTTTTTTGGTTTTATAAGTTTCGGGTGTCTTTCGTTTTGTATTATTTACAATTAGTAATGTTTCGACACATTTTGTTTAGCTCAATAATATAATTGAAAATTAATTGTCAAATAACTTGCCTGAATGTGTTTACAATTTGCTGATCTACATGGTTTACTGTGAAGGTATAGACTCTTCTCTATATCTTCGTTTTCGCCGTATTATACCAATGGATTTATATTATAAGCTAAATTTACATTTGTAATTCATTTTTTTCTCAAAGATGCCTTTCCAATAAGAGACTTGGCTAATATTATCAAACCAAATCCTTTTGCGTTTTACTCATAATATTATAATTTCAGTTCCAACGATGTTATTTTTAGAAGTCACAACCATTTCTTTTATTTTGAATGAATATACTAGATCAAGAAAGAAATATTTTTTGGTAGAGTTTAACTAGTAAATGATGAAAATACTGAAATTGTAATAAATCTCGAAATTTTGAAGTAAAATATTTCGAATAAAGTTTCACATGGAAAGAAAAAAATGCCTATCTACAATCTTTCTGTTTCATTCAAATGAATATTTGAAACTATGTAGAAAAGTTGAATCTAAATTGAACAATACATCTTATTCATCACTAAATTGACTATCATCACGAGATATATCAGCATAAATAATGTTTTCTAATTGTATATTAACTTCAATTTCAAATATTCTTGATACATTGTATAACTTTGTTATTGATAAAAAAATGCATTAATCAATATTATTATTCTTCCTTCACTAGCCTTGATTTGTTCTCATTCTGTATTAGGTACAGATAAACCTCGATAAAAAATGTTCTATATAGGGTTCTTGTCATTTTGATTTAATATTAAGGCAAAGATTAACAAGACTAAATTGAACTTTGACTGAAGAAAATATTTCATTACTTCTTAACATTGCATTTATAGCTTTATATACAGAACAATCTTTTGTCTACCATTGAAGAGCATCTTCTGGCTGATAAATACGTTCGAACTCATCAATATAAGCTAGTTAAAGTAAGTTTGTATTATAAATTCTTTGACTATCTCTACGTATATATTCAATATTTTAGAATATCTATCAAATAAATATTGACAATCTTGTTCTTGCTTTTGATATGAAAGAAGTATCGTTTCCATCAATGTTCTCTGATTTAAACAAATTAAAGTACGATATGAACTCTGATCTAACCATAACTGTATCATATATTCAATATGTTCATTGCTAGTATACCATATTACAAGTATCTTATCGAAATATTTGAATGAACTCATATTTATTGAAATACAAATATCTGTCTTCTAGTATATGTACGTCAATAGTTTATTATCAGTGAAATCTGTGTTAGTTAACTAGAGTTGTGCACAGCTTCCACTTTTGGAGCCTGAACCTGATCCGGCTGAAAGCATTTGCACTCGAAACTCAACCGAACCTAAAAATTTTACTAGTTTATTATCGAACTTTATTGTTCTTGTACAAAGTAATCAGAAAACTCTTCAAGAATCGTATAGGTAATTTAATCAGTATAGTTACATGTGATTGTAAGATGTCAGTTGTTATCTGTCTTTCTTTACTAAGCAACAATGATAGCATAGAACAGTTCTCCTATTAAAGTTCTCGAAAATATTAATCACTGTCATATGACTTACAAGTAATAGTTCGGATGATGACTGTTATGTCGTATTGATAAAAATTTTTTGGAAAGAAAAACAAGAAAACTATTGTTAATGTTTATTTTCTTGTGCTAGAGTACTTTGGAAAGAAAGAGTGTGAGTGTCGATCAAGAGACGAATTACACCGACACTAACCCACGCTCCTCCCTTTCTTGGTAAAAATATAATCGATCCTAAAATATGATGTAAAGAATTGCAGACAAATATGTTTTTTTTTTCTTTCATATGAAATATCTTTTTTATTAACTTGCTGTTATCAGTCCATTCAGAAGAAATTTTGCTTAGTATTCTAAAACTGTGTAATTTACATATATTATTTTAAAATAACTGAGAAAGATAAATATTTATCAGAGATATAATAATGTTTTATGCCATCAAGCAAAATAAATTTGATTACGAACAGAAACCCTTTGTTAAACGTATTGAGTGATATAACTATCATCATACTACTGAGGACACTTATCATCAAGCAAGCCGCGCATTGATATCAATAAAGAATAGCCTAAATATTGACACTTCTGTCATTTATTTTTAATGTAGTCAGATCTTCCATCTCGAGATATACTTATTGTTTGCAACACGCTGTATT